ATTGCCGCATGGAGGTGGGATGCAGGGAGGGGGAGAAGGAGGAGGGGGACGAGGAGGAAGGAGGGAAAGGAGGAGCAGGAGGAGGCGGATTTTGAACGTTTCTTGGCCCTCGGGGGAGTGCCCTCGGCTCCACGGCTGGATCTGCCTCGGAGTCCACGTCAGAACGCGCTCGAGGAGCGGCCCACCCCTCGCGTCCAGCTTCCTCCGCCCCTCCCATACCGACCCCCTTCCTCCTCCGCCTCCTCCTCCTCCTTCTCCTCCTCCTCTGCTAGCGAAGCTGCAACAGGTCGAACGGCTGACCAAGAACATTCTGCAAGGGAGGACTCCAGTGGGGACGGACCCTGGTCGACCCTGTTGGGCGCGCCCTGGGGCTGTCTTGGGCCGTTTTTGGGGGCCCATTGGGGTGCTGTTTCGGGGCCTCTTTCGGTGTTTTTTCGGATCTCTTGGGAGCCTCTTGGGGCTTCTTGGGCGCTTCTTGGAGCCTCTTGGCGTCTCCTGGGGGCCTCTTGGGCCAAAACGTTTGAATCTTCAGTTCATCGTCCCCGTCTTGGGCACCGACTCGGGGCGTTCTTGGGCGCCTCGTGGGCCGTCTTGGCCCCCTCGTGGGCCATCTTGGGGCCCTCTTGGGGGCATCCTCGACCGGCTTGGGTGCCTCTTGGGCGGTCTTGGACGCAGTGGAAGCCCAAAAGGCGAACACGCCAAACATATAAGTTTCCCCATCGGAAATCAACGATGTTTGCTTATTGGGGCTCTCTCGGGGCGCCTCTTGGGGCGTCTTCGGGGGCCTTCTTGGCGTCATGGGAGTTGTCTTGAAATGCATCCGCAACCATGGGAGCGCGTTTTCGAGCGTTCCGAAGCCATCTTCGGGCGATCTTGGACGGCCCCCGGTGCTCTGGCAAGGCTCCCGGCGCGCCGGGCCGCACATTTGTAGTCGTGGCTCCGGCCCTGGGCCCCCGGACCCGGTCCCCCGTTATATGTATACGCTTCCCTGGTCAAGGCAATTCGCCTGGCGATCGTTTCTGGATGGCGATGATGGCGGCGATGATGCGCACTCAACACACTGCACTGCGAACCACGGACATGCAACGCAAAGCAAGGCGAAGCAAATCGAACGAATCGCGGGACCCGAACAACAAAAACAAACAACGGCGCGCCCTGGCAGCCCCGCGGCTTCCCTTTGCGTGGAGAAGTGCGTGGAGCTGGTACAACTGGATAGAACTGGTCATAGAACTGATCATAAAACTGGTCATAGAACTTGTCCGTTTAAAATAGGGTGAGACATACAATTTGTCGTCTCAAACTAAACATCTGAAATATCTAACTTATTTATTTTCTAGAATGTCGACCAGTCATCTGCTGTACCCTATTCTAATGGACCAGCTCTGCGAAGAAAACCCACATCAACGAAACAACGAAACTCTTCTTACCCAGACGGCGCCTGGACAAAAACTGTCCACACTCATGGCGACAAGGCGATGCAACATGATAACAACCACAACTCCGAAATGCCCTTGCTTTGCACCCCTCCCCACAAACCCAAAATTGAAGTGTCCACATGTTGTCCCTGGCCGTTGGCATACCGCCTAAACCCGTCAATTCTGAATTTCGGGGGAGGGGGGTATACATTGGCGAGATACGTGTGGGCACTTTTAGTCCACCCACCGTGGTAATCAACACTATCAAGGTAATCAACCCTGTCAACCCTGGACGAGCCACCTCAGCGGACAGTTCCGCTGCATGCTTCGACGCTTCCCTGGTCAAGGCGATTCGCCTGGCGATCGTTTCTGGATGGCGATGATGGTGGCGATGATGCGCACTCAACACACTGCACTGCGAACCGCGGACATGCAACGCAAAGCAAGGCGAAGCAAATCGAACGAATCGCGGGACCCGAACAACAAAAACAAACAACGGCGCGCCATCGCAGCCTCGCGGCGTCCCTTTGCGTAGAGAAGCGCGTGGAGCTGGTACAACTTGTACAGGTGGATAGAACTGGTCATACATCTGGTCATAGAAGTAATCCTCTCAAATTAAACATCTTAAATATTTAAACTATGTTTCAGAACGTCGACCAATTCAATGCTGGACCCTATTTTAATGGACCCGTTCTATGACCAGGCCTACCAATTCCACAACGGCGCATACCTCATCAACGAAACAACGGAACTCTTCTTACCCAAACGTGGTAATCAACTCTGTCAAGGTAGTCAACCCTGTCAACCCTGGACAAGCCACCTCAGCGGACAGTTCCACTGCATGCTTCGACGCATCCCTGGTCAAGGCGATTCGCCTGGCGATCGTTCCTGGATGGCGATGATGGCGGCGATGATGCGCACTCAACACACTGCACTGCGAACCGCGGACATGCAACGCAAAGCAAGGCGAAGCAACTCGAACGAATCGCGGGGACCAAACAACAAAAACAAACAGCGGCGCGCCCTGGCAGCCCTGCGGCTTCCCTTTGCGTGGAGAAGTACGTGGAGCTGGTACAACTGGTACAACTGGATAGAACTGGTCATAGAACTGGTCCGTGTAAAGAAGGGTCGGGCTTAGAATTTGTCGTCTCAAACTCAAAATCCGCCGACCCCTTGGGGATCATCGGCGTGTGAGATGCTTCCCCCTCCCCAAACCCCTCCCCCGGGAGCCCGGTCCGGTCGATTTGGAGGGGGGGGGGGGGTCCGGGACGAGCGCAGCACGGCCGGGACGAACGCAGCACGGCCGGGACGAGCGCAGCACGGCCGGGACGAGCGGTTCACGGGGCTTTTCCGGGCCCAAGAGGGCCTCAAGACGGGCCAAGAAGCCCCCAAGAGGCCTCCAAGACGGCCCACGAAGGCCCCGAGACGCCAAACGACCGCTCCAAGACGCCCAAGATGGCCCCAAGACGGGCCAAGAGGTCTCCAAGACGGCCCCCGAGGTCCCAAACAAGCCTCCCAAGAGGGCCCCAAGAGTCTAAAATTGTTGATTTTCCATAATGTTTTTCTATGTTTTTTGCTTTTCCGCCTTTTCGGCTTCCCGACGCTCCAAGACGGCCAAAGAGGCCCCAAAGACAGCCCCAAGATGGCCCAAGAGGCCCCCAAGACGGCCTCCAGACGGCCCAAGACGGCCCCAACACGGCCCAAGAGGTCCCCAAGACGGCCCAAGAGGGCTCCAAGACGGCACCAAGAGGGGCCCAAGAGGCCCTGTCTCTAGCGGCTGTGCCCCAAGCGGTCACGAGGCCGCCCACCCCCCCGCGGAACTGCCCGAGACCCTCTGGCGGTGGCGGCGAACAGACACCAAACAAATATCACTCGCCTTTTCACCCCTTCGCAGCTTCTACTACCCCCAGATTGGCATAAACAAGGGGTCGGCGGTGTGGCGCAAGCCTAAGAATCTTAAATATCTAATTTATCTTATGTTTAGAATGTCGGCGAGTTCTATGCTGGACCCTATTTTAATGGACCAGTTCTATGACCAATTCTATCCAGTTGTACCAGTTCCGCAACGAAGCAAACCCACATCAACGAAACAACGAAACTCTTCTTACCCAGACGGTGCCCAGACAAAAAGTGGCCACACCCATGGCCCATGGCGAAAAAGGCGAATGCAACATGATAACAACCACAACTCGGAAATGCCCTTGCTTCGCACCCCTCCCCCCCAAACCCAAACTTGAAATGTCCACATTTTGTCTATGGCCTTTGGCCTACCGCTGAAACCCGTCAACTTTGAATTTCGGGGAAGGGGGGTATACGTGTTGGTCTGACGTACTTGAACGACTCAAGGTCTTCTTGGCGAGACACGTGTGGACACTTTTGGTCCACCCGCCGAAGGGAAACTCGGCGGGCGCCTGGCAGCGCACCCCCGGGGCCAGCCGGGCGCCTCTGGCGCTCCATGGGCGCGCGCACCACCGCGCGCGCAGCGCCGCGCCCTGGCCGACATCGTCGCCGCCGGCGCGCGCCGCAAGCAGCAGCAGGCCCGCCGCGCGGGGCGGCAGCGCCGCCGCCCCGCCCACGCACTGTCGGCCAGGCCCGGCCCCCGCCACCGCCGGGCCCCGCCCCCGCAGCGCAGGCAGGCGACGCAGGCTGGCCACTGGGACGCTGCGTGCGCCCGCCACGCCTGGCCAGCGAACCGCGACCGGACCGCCGCCGCCAGCGCAGCGCCCCGCCCAGCCGTGGCCAAAGGCTCATCCATGGGGTACGGCGGCGATGCTTCCTATCCTTTTTGATATTCCTAACATCATGGGCCTGGCGTCTTTCGGCGGAACAGCTTCTGGCCCGCCGGACGCTCTTAGTTCTGTTAACCCCAAGGCCCAATCGGAAACCACTCCGCGCCGCACCCTATGAAGTATCGAGCGGGATGCGCCCAAGCGCGGAGTGGTTGGAGCATTTTTACTCCGAGCTCATCCGCCCTTGCGTTATTTGCGAAGGCAGACTGAAAGAAACTCTCGCCACGGTGAGGTAGGCGAGAGCCACAGCTTGAAACTAGAACAAGAGCCGCCCTCAATCCTTGAAGCTGCTCCTAACTTTCAAAACGAATGTGCGCGACGCTACGGCGAGAACAACATGTTGAAAACATCCCACGCTCCATCTTTGGGCTCTTGCAAACTTTCGAATCGAGTGTGCGCAGCGCTAAGGCACCAACCGCATGTTGGAAACATCCCGCCGACCATCCGTGAAATTGTTGCAAAGTTTGAAGCCGTATGTTCGCGGCGCTGAAGGGATAACCAAATTTTGAAAACAACCCGACTTCCATCCATGGAACTGTTGCAAATGCCATGCTTCGCAATCATCAAGAGTAAGGGCGTCACAGGCGAAACGCCTGGCCCGCTCGAACAAGCGGAATAGTGAATGAACCAATGCCCTGCGCAAGACCCATGATGTCATCAACTGGGCTACTATGCGCTATATGCACGTGCACGATGTACCGACGGGATCTTCCTCCTCCTCCTCCTCCTCCTCCTCCTCCTCCTCCTCTACGTTTTCCTCCGAATCCTCCACCTCTTCCTGACCAGGAGCGCAATCCTGTCGAACAACATCCCACGGAGCAACCGCTTGTACAAGGTTCCGTCGATGCTCTCCATGCTTTGCTGCTGGGGCCGCTGCAGCAGAACGGGCGGTGCCCCGCTTGTGATCTCGAGGATGGCACGCTCGTTGGAGCAGATGTTCGCGAAATGCTCGGATACCATCTGCCGCGCTATTTTTGTTGCACGTGCCGGGGAGGTCGAGCATTGGTTTGTGTGGACATTCTTGGCCCTTCTCGTGCCTCGGAGACCTCCAACGGAGAGGGAGGTAGGAGAGGCCCTACGCAGACGATGACGGGGAGGTGTAGATCCACGATGCCAGAACACCATCCGCTGTCACGCACCAGGGCAGCTGCATCCATAAAGCATCTGTGTCGAGCGTCAAGGGGATAAGAACGGGACGACGACGACAACAACGACGAGCCTTGTCTGTCACGTTGGTGAACGTGCTTTTCTGCACCGCGTCCGCCACCCTCTCCTGGGCGAGCCACCCGTTGCCCTCCCTGCCCCCTGCTCCCAGGATTGCTGAGCGACAACTTTCCTCGTCCACCCTCCCCCTCTCCCTCTCTCTCTCCTTCCCGCCTCCTTCGAGTTTCCTCCGTCCACGGCCTTCCGTCATCTCCCCCTGGGCCCTCCCCGGTTCCGACTCCGCGCCCGCTCGTCCCCGTCCCCGCTCCTCTTCTCGAGCGCCCGTCTGGCTCGAACTCCTCGCCGCGGAGCCGCGCCTCCCGAGCGCGCTCGCCGCCGCGGGGAGGAGACTGCCCGTGGAGCCCCCTCGCGGTAGATTTGGGTCGCGGCGGCGCGGATCCACGACGCGGTCGGAGTCAGCCGAGGGGCACTGCGGGGCCCAATCGGGAACGACCGGAGAGGGAAAGGCGCGAGCGGAGGGGGGGAGGAGCCGGAGGCGGCGGAGCGCGCTCAGAGCATGCAATTCTTGCGCATGTGCAGCCAGCAGTTCCCGCCAGGGTCCGGGGGATCTGCTTGGGCGGAGGGGCTTCGACGCGAGCGGCACCGGCAGGGGCTGAAGTGCAAGTGGAGAAGGAGTATGAGGACGGGGAAGAAGGGTTATACGAATGATAGTAATACTAATACTAATAATGATAACAATAATAAGAATAGCAATGCTACTAATGCTGATGAGATGAAGAAGAGGTCGAACCATACATGTAGCCATGCGAATCACACGGTTCATAACGATAAAATAATACTAGTACTGGTACGAAGACGCATAATACTGATACGCCATACTAACTTTAACGATGTTGAAAATGCTGACCGTAAACGTATACATACTAATCCTAAGGCAAATTCTCATACGTAAAATGTCAATACGTTCATAATGGTAATCAAAATAGTGGAACCAGTACCACTATTACTACAACTAATAAGCATACTATAATGATAAAACATAAAATCATAACACTAACGATGATAACATGCATATAATAATGCTGCGCGTAAGAAGAACACTACTGATACTCATACTACTGACAAGAGGAAGACGAATACGAACGAACATCATAATAACAATAATACGCGGGGAGGTAAGGAGGAGGGCGAGGAAGGAGAGACCAAGCCACGTACCGCACGGACGTGCGGCCCGATCAGGCTGTGGATCCTTCGCGCGTATGCTCCCCGCGGTACACGCGGCGGCAGGGCTCCCAGCAGGGTGCGCTCCCTGGCGGGAGCGCACCCGGCTGAGAGCCGCCGAGGGCCTGCTGCGCGCGGCGGCGGGCCCGCGCAGCACCTGCCGCGGAGCCGCCCCGCGCCCGCGCCCGGGGCGCAACGCCTGCCCCGCCAGCGGCGGCGGCGTGGGCGCGGCGGCGAGGCTGCCGCGGGTCGTGGCGCGGCAGGGCGCGGCGCCGCGGAGGAGCCCGCCAGCGGGAGACGTCGTGGGCCACACGGGTACGGGAGCGCACGAGCATCAGCTCGCCATCGCTCGGACGTCCATGCCCTGTGCACTTAGTCGAGATTTCGTGCGAATTCGTCCTTGGTGTCGCTCGGTCATCCAGGGTGTTCCTCGACGGTCCTCGCCGCAAGAAAATGCATGCACACGTCCGGGCGATGCCAAGCCACTGGCAGCAAGAGTGTCTCTGCCCGCCCAGGCTGGAGCCGAGGCGTGCACAGAGTTCGCTGCCGATGCGGCCCTCGGGGCCTCCAGAGCCGCCAGCCCAGACCACGGCCCTGAGAGGAACAACGAACTGCACAAACATGAACTTTCGGAGCTCCGCGCGGACCCGGGCAAGGCACGGCGGAGGTGGAAGAGCTGGACTGGAGGGGCAGGCCATCCCGGACGTCGAAACGGTCGCCTTTCGGGCACCTTCGGAGGCGTTCCCAGCAGTCTCGCCAGCACTGCCGCGCCCTCAGCGTGCTGGGCGGCGTGTTGGCCTCGCCGCAGCCCAGGCGCCGTCCATCGAGGAACAACAATCGGCATAACCAAAAACTTTCGAAGCTGCGCGTGGATTTCTCAGATCGGCGCTGGAGCCCCCTCAAAGCGCTTCTGGCGCCGCCCCTGGAGCGCTCCGCGCGCCAGGGAGGGGGGGTCCAGCGCGGATCCGAGAAATCCGTGCGGGCTGTCCGAAAGTTTCTGCTTATGCCATTTCTTTGTTCCTCGGTGGACGGCGCCTGGGCCGAGGCGAGGCCAACACGCCTCCCGACGCCGCGGCGGTACTGGCGAGGAGACAACTGGGGGTCCGGGATGGCCAGCCCCTCCTCCTCTGCCAACCCTGCCATCCACCCGAACCTGTCGACCCCATCCAGGGGATCAGCTTTCCGTCATGGGTAGTCTGCTGATGGCCCCAAGGCCCGAGATGGGCTTCCGAATGCCCAAGTCTGGCGACATCGGCCGTAGCTGCCTTTGCCCGTGATGCCAGAGGTCTGAGCAAAGGGGGGGGACGAAGACGGGGCTCCTGCAGATCTGGCGGCATGCTCCGGTACATCTCCCAATAATCCTGCCAGGGGAGGGCGATCAGACACGGCGCAGCATTCGTTCGCCATCGTCGTCGTCGTCGTCGTCGCCTCCGCCGTCGTCGCCGTCGTCGTCGCCGTCGTCGTCGTCCTCGCTGCCGTCGCTGCCACCATCGTCGTCCTCGTCGTCATCCTCGTCGTCGTCCTCGTTGTCGACCTTGTCACCGTCCCGGTTCCCTCCTCTCCTCCTGCTGCTCCTCCTCTCCCTTCCTTCTTCGCCTGATCCTCTTCCGCATCATCCTCGTCCTCCTCCTGCTCCTCCTCCTCCTCCTCCTCTTTCGTGTACCTCCTCATTCTCCTCCTCGCAATCCTCCTCTTCCTTACTTTTCATCCGGTATCCTCCTCCTCCTCCTCATCCTCCTCCATTATTCTGCTCCTGCTCCTCCTCCCTCGGACAGGGCCTCGAGGCCGATGAAAGCTGCTCGCAAGTACGGGCCCCGCCTCCCCATTGTTGACAGAGCCAGGACTGCACCGGCGCCTGGCCCGCAGTATGGCATCCCTTGTACGGTGGCCTCAACAGTCGGTTCTGCGCAGTGGTAGGCCGCGCGCTGAGAACTTATAATCCCAACGCCTTTCCAATTTAACATGAGGGAAAAAAGACGCCTGAGGGAAACGGGTCCTGGATCCCATCGGCTTCCCCCAGGAGGGGGACTGTAGGTCCTTCCCAGCAGGACGATTTTTCTCCATGTTGACCCATGCAACCTGTTTCGCTAACCCCCCCCGAACCTCTCCTGTAGAGCGTTCTGACCAGGACTTCGAAGCGGATTCAATCGTGCCAGCGAAGGGCTCCCAACTGTCACGAAGAGAAGGGGACCCCAATGTCAAGAAACGCCAATCAAGCGTAATCGCAACCCAACTTGGCATCTCGAACACCAGCCGTGGACATGGTAAAATTCGATCCATGGGCGAGCCATTCCCCAAGCGGACTGCAAGGGTCGCTCGCCACGTACGTGGGCGACATCGTGCCTGTCCACTGCGCAGAGGCCCTGATCCAGCGCGCGTGTACATACACACGCCCCCAGCGCGGGGCGCACCCTACGTCAAACATGCACGCGCGGATGGTTTTGTGCACCAACACAAGTTATCATCTCCACGTGCCCCACTGCTGCTTCCCGCCTTGTTCCCTCCCTGGACCTCCGACGTCATGCTTTCTTCCTTCTAGATATGTATGACCATCCCAGCAAACCTCTCGAACTCTTAGCTGGCACATGTGTCTTCGTCGCGGGCTGTCTTTTGACGGCCCTGAGCCCAAGAACGGCCCATGGACGCCAAGAATGGCTCTAGGCTCGTTGCTCTGTGCACTGGGGCTCGCAAGTGGAACTCCACGCTCGCGATGGGGCCCATTGGAGTTTGTGCCCTCGCCTTCTGTTTTGGCCCTCTGCGGAAACTCTCGCTGTGAATTGCTCGTCGTCCACTTGTGTGCGGTTTCCCCTCTCAATGTTGTTTGTGCTCTTTCTTTCTTTCTCTCTCTCTCTCTCTCGCTGTCGGTCTCTCACAGTCTCTGTCTTCCACTGCCGACAACCTATACATCCATACACACATCCATGCGCATATAACATAATGGCTCGTTCCAGAAGCCCTGACTGCAAACAACCTGAATATCCTGATGGGACACGTTGTCACATTCGCCAGCTTCTGCCAGCTTTCCGCCGGCCTCCGACGACGGATGCGCCGTTCTTTCCCGCCCGCCGCCTTCCGCCAGCACTGCGCCGAGGAAGGGGTGCCAACTTCTCGACGGCGAGGCCCTTTTCTGGAACGCCCCAGTGCACGAATCTACATATATGTATACATATATATACACAGCTATGTATATACACACGTCTCCAGATTGTTTGGCGTAATATCCCCCTCTCTCTTTATACAGATATGTTTATGTATCTCTCACTCCATCTCCTTCTCCATGCCCCCCTCTCCCTCCCTCTCGCACTTTCTCTTTCTCGTTCTCTCTCTCTCTATTATCTCTCTCTCTCTCTCTCTTTATGTGTTTGTTTCCTCTCTCTCTTTGAACTTTGTGTATGATCTCTCTCTCTCTTTTTCAAGTCTCGGCGCGAAATCCTTGCTCAGGACGAGACCAAACGCCGAGCGCTCCGCATCCTCGCTTGCCTCGCGAAACCAGACACGACCCAAGTCATGACGGATTGGCACCACGCCCCCCTTCAGTACCGCGCTCGCGCCATGGCTCCCAAGGGTCTTCGCCG